AAGTTTTCTATTGTTGAATTCTATGAAGATGTTTGCATTACCATTGTGAAATTTCCAGTCTATGTTAATAAAGCCAGATTTATGAGAGAAAATAGAGGACAGGAAATTCAATTTGTCTATTCTAGTATCGCCTGGCATAGCAAAAGCTAATAAAGACGCAAAAACATTTCCTTTTTTGTTAGATAGGGTCACGTGAAAAGAGTTTTTCAAATTGTGACAAAGATCATTTTTGTGTAACTTTTTATTACTATTGTTGTTGTTGATTGGATTGTGTAGAGACGCATCAATATTGTTATTATTTTAGTTATGATCTACAGGCGTGCCTAAAATATTATTATTATTATTATGTTTTAAAATTGACACGTAAGTTTGTTTATTATTCTTTTTGTTGTAGTTAATTGGTGGCGATTTGTTTTGATTTTCAGAAGATTGTTGTGTATTGGAAGTTAATAGCGAAGAAGGAAGATTATTATGGCGTGTATTATTTATTTCTGTAAGCATGTCATCATCATTGAGCTTATCCATTTGAGAGTTTAATTCCTCTTCATCAATGGTCGAAATAATATTATCATTTTCTTTAGTAGAAAGAGTAGTTTCAATTGTATTTGAAATAATATTTGCTGTATTATGTGTTTCATGGTTGCTTGTTCCAGTTTCGTGAATATGGCAAGTACAAGACCTTGCAAGGTTATCTATAAAATTATTGTTTAGAAATATTTCTTGAGCTGTACATTCAGCTGGGAAAGCTTTAAAGTATTCTTCGTTTAATTTCCTGACAAGCCAGAAAACTTCTGGTGTTTCGTAAGAGAGAAATTCTGCAATGACAAAGTCTCTTTTTTCAAGTTCAGGTGTAATGTAGTTTTTTAGTTTTTGAAAGTCTCTGACTTTTTTAGTAAAAAGGCTTTTAAAAATATCAAGGGACATATTGTATGATGAAAGTTTTAATAAAAAATAAGTTTTCTTTGAAAAATAAAATTTTTGTTTTTTCTAAGTTTTTTGGGTATTGTAGAGAGCGAGAAAGAGTCCAATATAGTCACTAAAATCATATTCTATTATATAATATCTTTTTGCTTCAATGATTTTAGCTTGAGTAATAGCAGCATCTAAGGTAGCTGAATTTTGATTTACAACTAAGGTTATTAATTTTTTATTTTTTTTATTTAATCTACTTAAGAACCTTTGTATTTTAAAACATTTGGGATTTCTTCTGCATTAACTTTATTTGCTGACTTCTTAAATATAGATGCATAAGTTTCAACCTTTTCATTTCCTGTTTCAAGTCCAATTGCAATTAGTATAACTTTTCTTGAAATGAGAATCATACTAAGAATCTTTCTCTAAATCTAGCATTCGCATCTCCATCTGTTCTGGTAATTGTTATGCTTACTAAATTATACCAGTCAGCTGCTCCTTCTTGCAGCATTCCTGCTGCAATTGTGACTCTTCTGTTATCAGCCCATTGATTAGCTTCTTTTACTCTTAGAAACATTTTGATCCATTCTTAAGCATCTTCACTGTCTTTTTCATAGAAAGGGTCAACTTTAACAATTGAGATTCCTGCTACAGGTGGTGCTGAGATGTTGATAGTTTATTACAAGTAAGCAATCAGTACGGATTCTAAGTATTTTGTTAAATTTTGCATATAGCTGTATCCCGTGATATATTTTAAAGATTGTATAATTTACAAAACTTCATGAATTAGGTAGACATAATCTCGTACCATATAAAGAGAAGTGGTATCTTTTTTTAGTTTTACTAGTTTAATATTGTTTTACAATTATTATCGTTATAATAATAACAATCTTTATTAATATTGTAAAGATCTATATAAAAAAAAATAGGGTTCAAAAAAAAATTTTGCGTATCATGATTGGCTAAATATTTTTTATAATAAGGAAATCAGAGATTGAGATTTCGTAAGATCGATCATAACTCTATCGTAAAGCAAAATGAGCAAAATTTTCTTATCCCTTAACAACGACAACGTATTTTCTGGTATTATTCCAAACGAAACATATTGGTATAATGAAATCAGCAATTTTCAACCAAGACGGTTGGATACGACATATCTAGAATGGGCGGTACTACTTCTAGGATGGTATATCATTCTATCCTCAGTCCCTAGCTTATGGATAGACTATGACTTATGGAATGCATTTGTAAAGCGCGATACCATTTCCCAACCGTTGAGAGTAATAAAGACAGGACAACAAAAGGCTCTAGATACAACCTCATTCCCACAAATGATTCCCCATACTGAACTTCTTGATTCAGGCTCACAAAGAACGGTAATATCGAATACAAAATACGGCAATAGTGACCAAATATTTGGAAAGCAAAATGAAGATAGTCACTCAACAAAAAGCGAAAGAAAAAGAAGAATAAGTTGTCATTCCAAAATTACAATTCATACAGTCCAAAAATCAAACAATCCAGGAATCAGAAGTCATCAACGTGCAGCACAAATAACAGCACAAAAAAAAAAAGATATTCTCTAAACCTCAAGAAAACCCCCCATCATAGTATGAACGACCGCATAAAAAAGAAAAGGAAAGGAATGGCCTTTAAAGTCTAACTAAAATTGACATGAACGTTTTATGGACCAGATTTATCGTTCTGTGGACGGAAATATATTCATTGTAACACTACACGTTCCATCGCAGTGGCTCTCGTAGTTTTCTCCATGATGACTTTCTATATCCTGCAACATAACGATAATGAAAAGTCGCGATATATATTCTTGCAACCATCACTCACAATGACTCTTACGAATGTATTACTATTATTATATCTCTTATAATTTTTCGTTTAAAGAAGAAGGAGATAAGATGCGGAAAGATGATGAACTTTATTTTTTCGTTGGTGATGCTGCATCGAATACAGAGCTTGGGGCCGAAAATCATTAGAATCAATGATTGTTAAAAGTCTTAATTAATAGGAAACTTTATAATAATTTTTTAATTAGTTACTTATTAAAAAATAGACATGAATTTCTTAAAATTTATATTCTTTTAAATGTTGATTTAGAACTTAGATCCTTGGACGAAGTCTTATTATTAAAAAAAAAGTTAAAACTATTATTAAATAAATGAATTATTAATAGCATCATCGATTAAGATGTATTCTATAATATTGATCGGAAAATTCTACAACAAATTTATATATACTGTGTATTTGTTAAACGAGAGGATAAATGATATTTATACTAAATTAAAATTTATTAAGGTTAAGGTAGTCCCAATAACTTCATCTTTGTGACTAATCTTTAAAATGAAAATAATATTTTACAGACAATAGACATTAATTCGAAGAAGAATCCTAAACTGCAAACCATGAACTTCTTTAAGAGCTCGCGTTCAATTTCAGCATCTTCTCTAACACTAATATATATTATGGTGGTAAATCTTTTTGCTTTGCTGCTCGTATTTCTGTTGTTGCTGTAATTGGTATTTACGCTAGTTGCAGCTGTATTTATTGCCACTTTTTTGACATCAATGTCATTGTTGACGTTAAAGTTGACAATTTGAAAAATTATAAATAAATTTGAAAATTTTGAAAAGTGAAAGAAATTATTTTTTGGAAAAAAATCAAAAAATTCCAAACTTTTATTGGTTGCTCCTGTTGTCGATGTCATTGTTGAAGTATTTCAAGTTGGCAAGTTATACGATTTAATAAGTGAAAAAATATATAGCTGAAATTTTTTGGGAGAAATTATTTTGAAAGAAAATAATAAGTTATTTAGAGTATTTTAAAAAAATAATTCTGAATGCAATCAAAAAAGTTTTATTACGGTAAATATACCGGTATTTACTCATAAAGTTTATTTCTGAAAATTGTACTTTTATTTCGATTCTTTCAATGTCATTTTTTTTTTTTCAGAATGCTTTCATTAAATATATTAGATTATAATAATTCATATACGATCAGAAAGATTTATTGCAACATAAATCACATTCTACGCAGAAATAATATCATATAATTAAAAACAATTTATATTGGAAAAATTGCAAAGCAACCGTTACTCGACCTTCAACAGAAACAACCATAAAGGTATTTAATTGCCTCTAAAAGTCTTGATCGATTAATTTTGCAACGATCAAATTCGATTTATTGATTTTTGTCAATTCGTATAAATAATTCACTGTATATGCATTCGAATACAAATAGATCAATTACTTATCATACTTTATTCATATGATTTAATTACATATTAAATAGATGTCAATTTCAACCTATTTAGATAATTCGATGAAAAAAAATTTTGAAAGTAAGTAAATTATGATAACAAACAATAAATAATTCAAGGATTTCCAAAATGAAATGATATTTAAACATTGCATTACATTGTAAGATTGCAAGACTTACAAAGGTCGAGATTATTATGCTAATTGGTTGGCAAGTGCTCGGTTTATAAAAAATAATAATAAAACTTTATATTCTTGACATCATAAAAAATTTTGTTTATAAATTATTCATTTATTATTCAAATTTTAACACCCCATGTATACGTAAGTTTAGATTTTTCGCCCACTAAATTCCTCAACCACTCGAGCATTGCTATATTCATAAATTTACAAGCATTTCTGGTGAATGCTTCCGAAAAATACATTTTTGTAAAGTTACGTATCACATGATGGAGAATATAATTTGAATTTGACGTTGCTCAATGCTAAATTTCTGACATCGGAAATGACAAGTCAGATTAAGCGTAAGGTGTTGTAATGTAGACTTCTAATATTATTTGTTTCATATGGAACAGCGATTGGTATGTCTCCAATATGTGATATTGAAAATCTCAAGCTTGATTTCGTCCATTTGATGTATTGTACGATTTGACGCGATGCGCTGCAAATTCTCGAATATTGAAATAATTAAAAATTTGGTCAAATTTCAAGCGTTTAAATTTTACCGCAATTTTTGACCATATTCGGAAATTTTGTACCGAATATTTTTATTCGAATATTCACAGTCATAAAATTTACGATCGGATATTCAATATACTATTTCCAAATGGCAGCTAAATGAAAATATTTCATCAACCAAAAAGTAAAGTCGACAACGAAATTTTCAATTCTCAATTTTGTTTTGCTTTGATATTTATACGCTATTAGAATTATTTCAAAGAAGTCTACTCTTTCAACAAGAATTCGTTTTGGTGTTTTTAACTTTTGTCACGTTTTGATTGTTTATCATTTAATGTAACACAAATTCTATATGAAACATTGATTGACATGCATGCAGGTTGATGTATGACAAAAGTACCTTATTTATTATAAATAGTAATGAGAATCGAGAAAAAATATTAATTCGCAAGTTTCTACATAAAAAGCATTTTCAAATATAAATCAAGCTATATCCATCATTAATCATAAGATATCACATTCTTGCTAAAGGATTACACAATAATATGGATTCACCAACTGCATGGAATATGAATGATGAACGTAATCTTTTAAGATTAATGTCAGACAGGCTTATCGTTATAGTGACTTATACAGGTGAGTTTATTACATTTCAAGTTGTATAACTTTTATAATTTTGCTGTTTTCGTATGGAATCACATATTCTTACGTAACTACAATTTTTTCGAATATAAAGGTCTAGGTGGATATGAAGATTGTGCCGCAATTCAAGCAAATTATCCTATTCCTGAGCATGTGGATTATTTTATTTCGAAGTTGATATTATAGATAGAGGGGAAAATGGGTGTGTTATTGAAAAAATTCGCAATATTTTTTTATCCTATTTTATATATACAGTAAATCAATTTTTTAAAAACTTTGACCATAATTCTATTTTTTCAATTTCCATAGGAAGATTGGAATCGGGTTTTGCATACAAACAGCTAGCCTAAATAAATTGCCCGGTAATTTTACCTTTTCTTTTAACAACCGCTAATGTTTTAAAATGAATCTATTTATTTACCATTTATATTGTAGGCTGGGAAGATATCTCGTGGGGTTATCATGGTGATGATGGAAAAAGGTTTTTTGAAAATAATGGCAAATAATATGGGCCAAAATTTATGACTGGTGATACTATTGGATGCTGTTTAAACTTTAGAAATTTTATACCAGAAACGGAGTGAATTTAGGTAGCTATTATCGTATTGCAAAGATTTGGTTAATTTAAATCAAATAATAGATATTTAATATCTATTGCATATTTTAAAGGTATTGCATTCCGAGGTTTAAAAAATGCTTTGTATCCTTGTGTTGGAATCGTGTCACCAGGTGGATTTGTAAGGGCAAATTTTGGCTATAGAAAGTTCAGATACACAGGTAATTTTATTTAATTTCTTTTTCCTTACTTACTTTATTAATATTAATTATTTTCGCAGTGATGAATGATGATGATATCGATGAAACTTTAAAGGAGAATTGGGCTGAAATACTTAATCCATTCAATAATATATTAATAAGTCAACAGATTAATAGATTTTCAGATTTAATACGATCAACTGAACAAAATGTTAATATACTAAAATACTGAGGAAAATTTTATTTTGTTATAGGTGAATTTGAGCAAGCACTTGCAGATTTGATAAAGTTGCTAGAAATTGAGGCACATAATACATTTGCATTAAGATATCGAGGAGAAATTTATTTTATGATGGAAAGATATGATGAATCTATTGCAGATTTAAAGAAATTGCTAGAAACAAATGCAAATGATTCATGGATATTAAATGCCTACGAAGAAGTTACTTAGTCAAGTATAAATTTAACTTTTTAAGGATTACTATTAATATTCTTTTTTAATTAATTATATGTTAAATTATTAGCAAAGTTTTAAAAGGTATGTATTGATTTAGATAATGATTGTAATTCAAACTAGGAATATTAACAATTATCTTCATTAATAAATTTTATCTCTATAAATATTTTAATGAATAAACATTTTAGATTATAAATTATTTAATTTCTATTTATATTACTAATACAACTTAAATTTTAAATAACATTTATTCATTTCAAAATATCTTATTCTATAGGGAGTAAGTTATTTCTATTCTTCATATTATAATATAAACTTGGTTAAATCTTTTTATTTAAAAATCTTAATTATTGATACATTTTTAGTTAGTAAGTTATTTTATTTTATTTATTATTAATTAAAGTATTTAAACTAATTAATTTTGCATTTAAAATATTATAGAATGTAAGTTATATTATTAATTTGATAATTATAAATTTATATTATATAATAAATAATATTAATTTACATAATTATAGAAAGTAGGTTAATTCATTATACTTTTTGTAAAAATTATTTAATAAGTGATAATACAATAGATAGTAAGTTATTTTTATTTTATTCTTTTCTGTAATTTAAAATTCAAGCTAATTTTTATTTAAAAAAATATTTACTAATTAATAATACAATAGAATGTAAGTTCTTTTTATAAATTATTAGAATTTGATTAAACATTAATATAATTTAAATTTAATCTAAATTTTTATTTAAAAAATATATTATTATTAGAGAATAAGTTTTTTTTTATTTATTAATAGTATTTAATTATCCTTTTTTACTATAAATTACTCTTAATAAAATTTTTTATTTAAATAATAAATAATATAATAAATTGTAAGTTATTATTAATTAATAATATTTATTATACTTTTTATTTAACTAATTTTTTATCTAAAATACAAATATATTATTATAGAAAGTTAGTTATTTTTATTCATTATTAGTATTTAATTATTATAATTTTATTAAAAAATTATATTTTTATTAGAAAGTAAGTTATTTTTATTGATTATCAATATTTAATTATATTTTTTTACTATTATAATTTATTTAAATTTATTATTAAAAAATGTTTAATAATTAATAATACTATAGATGATGATAAATTATTTTATTATCAGTATTTGATTAAACTTTTACTATAATTTAA